CTTGACTGTTCCTCTAAAGTCATGAATCATCCAATGCGAGTGTCGATGATAACCTCTACGGCGATTTGAGCTCTTCCCGGCGATTACACTCGGTGAGAATGACGGTTGTCTTCACTTGGACGGAGCGTACATCCCATATTGTCCAATTCATCTTCGATGACACAATTAATGGCATGTCGGATGCAATGACCTCGAATCTTCCCGGAAGGACTCAGCGCTGTCTTGTTCTATCGAAAAACCTTCCGAGGCGGAGGCTACTATGCCGGGAGTACAGTGAAGCGAGACGTACCCTCTTGCGCGTTTCTGCAAAAAGGTCGTTCGTGCCATATAGTCCTACGTTGTTCGACTATCTCATAGAATGGGTTTGTCATTGGGAAAGATAAAATGTAGACTCCTTGATTTACTTGTCGCAAGTCTAAGTCGTCACGGCAATAGTCGGTTGGCATCCGTGCGCTGTGATCTTGGATGATTCCCTCTCGCAAGAATTCGATCGATCCGTGGTTTGATAGGTAAATATGGCCCCACACGGCTGGACAAGTCTGCCCCAGACAGAATAAATGACCAGTCCCGACATGCCAGTTGGAAGGCATAATCTTGTAGCAATTTGAGCAACAGTAAACGGGCATGGGTGTTCCCTTGATGATAGCGCAAGACTTGATCTCGAGTTGCAACTTCGTCCGAGCTCCAACCGAGTGAAGCTCTGAAGATCGACGTAGTAACTCGTGTACAATGACTTTAGCGGAACAGAAACACATCGAGTCCTTGTAGGCGTGTATGATGTCTTCAAGAAAGGCCGTGTCAGAAGATGCGTAATCTACAGTGACTCTCGGCCCTTCAGAGGCAAGAGACAGGATGGAGTAGACCTTATCGCGAAGTATCTGACACTTCCTGTCTGGTAGTAGGGTGAGTAGACTCAATAACGTCCATCCATTATGAAAGTATCCACGGCGTATCATGCCCATATACGTCAAGAACCTGCGGTGTGATAGGCGTTGATACTGCGACCTCATGTCGGTAGAGTCGACAGCGTGGGCGAAGTCTTTGGCATCGATCTCGTGATGTCCAGCAAGGAGCCTGAAATCCCTGGCGAGAGCTATCTCCTGGGTAATCCATGCTCGGGTCCAGTATTCGTTATGGACAACATCCTCGCACTCCCCTCCCCGCACTTCCACAGCTCGAAAACCTGCGGCTGGTGGGGACAATATTTTCTTTCTTTCGGCTGAATTTTCCCCAGACACAGTCGGGACGAGGCTTTGCCACTTTCCAAGAAGGATAACTGTCTCGGGACTCCAGCCTAACCACGCGATAACCTTCTCCGCATGCGAATAGATCTGACCCATGTGCGCGACTTGATGGTTTCGCTCGGATATGTTCGATTGATCGATACAAATAGCATCTATTCAGAAAGGGGTCAAAGGGTATTTGCGCTGTGCAACGAGGAGGAAACTCTTCAAGTTGGACCGGATGTAGAAGTCACGACCATTGATGTGGATCTCGTGCTCAGCATCTGAAGTACCCCAGACGTAGCCGAAGCACACATATGACGAGTCGATCGTGGCATGCTCTAGCTTACACTGTAAGATGCCAGCCGGCATTTCTGGAAGGACTCTGAGAAGCCTTATCGAAGGCTGGTCATGATTGAGAGTGATGAAGTGAGCAAGTTTTGCCATGATATGTTGTTGATTGGAAGACGCGTGAGAGCCTGTATGAGGCTCTCAGAGGCTGCCAAGGCACTAACTACGCGCGATCACGTGAGAGGTATCGGTAGAGCATCTATGCCCTTTAACAGAGAGGTTTATGCCTGAACGGCTGACGTGGCCGAGGCCGATTTGGTACAAATCCTGAACAGGCGCATATGAGATACATGGAGTCGTGGTGTGTGGCTCTTTGTTCAAAGGGAGTCTGTGGTCACTTCTCGACTGGTTGAGAAGAGACACCATAGTGCAGATCATCGCCAGCGATACCACAGCCTCAGAGTCTGTGAATGCCTCATGTTGACTCAGGAGGCGGAACTGTTAGGCTTATATTTCTTGCTTGGCACGTCGTAAATGCATGTGTTACATCTTGAGCATTGATGATGCTCGGGCACCTTGTGTGTTGAATAATGCTGAGGAATCCTGTTCGTGGACTTTGCTCGGAGCTGCAAATGCTGATTGACGAAGACTTATTTGGCTGGAAGAGTCTACGATAAGTGTGCTCGTACGAGATAATGGCATTCGACCGCGACATGACAGTCACAAACACATGGAAAGAATACACGGTACATGTAGCGCGTCGTGATGTGGAGACCAGAAGTACCTTCTTGATACGCCGCGTGCGCCATCCCCGAGTCTTCCGCGCTTATCAACTGGCCCGATGCCCGATGTAGCCACGCTTGACACCAACGAAGGAAAGTACGATTCGCACCTTGGCAGAAAGTGCCGCTTCAGAGATCCGCCTACGCTCCCCGCAACATGACGGCATGCACTGTCGGAGCGCGCCCAGACTCCAGGTTCGAGGACCAGCAACATCCGAATTTATTGCCGGCTAGCTTCCATTCCCGTGCGATTTGCCATGGATTTGGCGCCTGCCGCTAGATCTGGCCTCTTAAAGAGGCCTGTCTCGCTGCTGCTTGTGCTGATCCCAAACCCGGATTGATCTATTCAACTTACTCCACGCCGTCATTTATTACTGCCACGAAGACGAGTACTTCGTATCGTCTTGTGTTATCTCGGACTTTATACCCACAATCTCCTCCCCTTTCGCTTTCGCTTTACATAGTCCAACATGGCGGTTGAGAACTACGATATCGTCATTGTTGGCGCAGGACCCGTCGGTCTCACACTTTCAACATGTCTGGCGCGATGGGGTTACAAGATCAAGCACATCGACAACAGGCCAGAGCCAACTCCTACCGGGCGAGCGGATGGTATCCAACCCCGTTCATTGGACTTGCTACGGAACATGGGCCTGAAGCGCAAGATCATGGAATACGAGCCTGCGAAGGTCTACGAAGTAGCATTTTGGGATCCGGCTGCCAAGGGCATCCACCGCACAGGAACATGGGCGAGTTGTCCGAAGTTCATCGATGCGCGATACCCCTTCACAACGCTATTGCACCAAGGCCTGATTGAGCGTGTTTTCATTGACGATATGGAGAAGAATGGCACAAGATTGCAAAGACCTTGGACTATTACTGGATTCCAGAATGACGGAAAAGACCCTACATATCCTGTGGAGGTCAACTTGGCACATGTGGACGGCACAATGTCAGAGACTATACGAGCAAAGTATCTGTTCAGCGGAGAAGGAGCAAGAAGTTTCATTCGAGACCAGCTGAAGATTGGAATTCGGTACAAGGATCCGATCGCACACGTTTGGGGAGTCATGGATGGTGTTGTACGGACGGATTTCCCTGACATCAAGGTAAGAAACATTAAACTTAACCAGTTTTGAAGCATGATGTATCTGACCAGCCTTCAGATGAAATGCACAATCCACTCAGATGCGGGTAGTATCATGGTTATTCCCCGCGAAAACAACATGGTCCGCCTCTACATCCAGGTTGCCAGCTCTACAGACAAAGACTGGAACCCACGCAAACAAGTAACCGCAGAAGAAACCCAGAAGTTAGCTCAGGAAATCCTTAAACCATACACCATCACCTGGGACCGTATCGAATGGTACTCCGTTTACCCCATTGGCCAAGGCATTGCAGAACGATACACCCTCGACGAGCGCGTCTTTATGGGAGGCGATGCCTGCCACACTCATTCGCCAAAGGCCGGACAGGGCATGAACACAGCATTCCTCGACGCCGTCAACCTTGCATGGAAGATACATCATGTTGAGTCTGGCTGGGCACCACGCGAGGTTCTCAAGACCTACGAATCCGAACGCCAACTGATTGCCGAGTCCCTTCTTGACTTCGACGCACGCTACGCCAAACTTTTCAGCACACGTATCCCATCCGCAGGCGAGGTCGCTGGCGCTGCGTCAAATGAGCCAGCCGAGAACGAGTTCATCAAGACCTTCAAAGCAAGTTGCGAGTTCACCTCTGGCTACGGCGTAGCCTACAAGCCTAACAGCATAAACTGGGGCCCCGAACACCCCGCGCAAAGTCCCCTGTACCTCTCATACGAGAATGGCACCACCCAACGAACCGGCCGTATCCTCACCCCAGCGACTGTTACCCGTGTCGTCGATGCCAACGTCGTACACCTCGAGCAAGAAATCCCCATGAACGGCTCCTACCGCATATTCCTCTTCGGTGGCTCGCTCAACACCACATCTCGCGCCATCAAGGACTTGGCATCAAACATGGCAAATCCAACATCTTTCTTCAGCACGTTCCTCTACAGCGACCTGGAAAAGACAGATCGCTACCACGAACACCACAACCCTCACACTTCCTTCCTCTCCCTGGCACTTGTCTTCAACGCACCCCGTTCACAGATTCACATTGCAGAGCAATTACCAGCGACGTTTGCGCGGTACGCAGACCACGTGTATGCGGATGATGTGTGGGATCAGCGGGTCCCAGACGCGAAGGCAGCGGCGCACGCAAAGATGGGATTGTCTGAGGAGAAGGGTGGCATCGTAGTCGTCAGGCCAGACGGTTATGTTGGTGTTGTTGTGAAACTCGAGGAGGGCAGTGGAACGTGTGATGCATTGAACAAGTATTTTGAGGTTGTCACTGGAAAGAAGTTGGGTGGTGAGAAGGCTATTTTGTAGAGATTGCAGAGGCGACCTGTTGTATATAGTTTCTTGTAGGTATTTATCTTACATATTGGTTCTGAAGCATATATATATCTTTTAATGGCTCAATGATCTTGGTGTTTTGACTCGACCCTGCTCTCTCATCATCCGGATCGCATTTGCGGTCTTCTGTTTGATGGTCATCGCAGCTGAGCTTCCCAAACAGCGACGTACCAAGTCAGCAAAACAAAAAAATACGCAATGAGCAATTGCTCAGTCATTCAAGCAAAAGATATATGGATGCTAGAAGGGCACAAAAAGAATGGTCACTACGAGGGTCGAACTCGCGACCTTGGCGTATCAAGGCAACTCAAAAGCAGCTATTAGCACCACGCTCTAACCAACTGAGCTAAGCGACCTGCAAATGCTTTATGAAAAGCTTAAACATTATATATATTATATATTATTTGATTTTGGATCTACAATCAAGAATAATTTCTCGTGGCCATGCCCCGGTGCTGGTGGAAAATGGTTTTTCCCAGTGGCAGCCTAAAGATGTGGGGAAGCATGAACTTTGAAGCTCGTGCTAGCTTAGTTTTCGCGGTGGGGCAGCTCTCACGTAGCAGAAAAAGCTGTGGATAAGTGAACCATCTCGTACTCGAGCAATAACACCAGCGACAGCGACAGCGACAGCGACAGAATGAGTCCAATGTTTTCTCGACGTAAACATGGCTTATAGTGTTTCCCGAAGTACCACAGAGTATTCACGCTTGCCTGCAATTGTGTTGCGCGTGATCTGTCTCGCTCGAAGGTTGTGGCTTTACCCGAGTTTTCTTTTACTATGCGAGGGAGGCAGCATGCACAGCATCCGCACCCCATCAACAAGTGATTATAGATCTTCGCTCAGCAGGCAATCCACTGAACTTTGAGACCTTTGACAAGTCAGTTGCATAGTCGAGGTTAAAAGAAGAGTAATCATAGACATATTTGTCTCTATCCTCGTTGGAAAGTATATGGAAAAGGAAAGGGTGTCTCGAAAAGAAAGCGCGACTGCCGTCGGAAAACTTCAACGCCGATGCCATGCTCAACGCTGAGGCATCACAGATATTCTGAACAGTTGCACTAATTCAAGTCTTGAATGAGGAGGTTCACGACCAGATATCGAAGATCGAGAGCGAGGCCTGACCTGCTTGTTTCTCCAAATGTGTCTTGCCGGGATGTTGTTCGGCGGTGGTGATATTCGAAACCCAGGAGGGGTCGATGTCTTTCCCAGCGCACAAGTGTGTCCAGCTTCACGCATCAAGTTGCCCGAGATATTTCTCGACCTCGTCGTTTCCGTAGAACATGCGCTGAAGCTTCTCGTGCTTCCTCTTCTCTATCTTTGCCATCTTTTGAATCTTGCCAGCGTCGAGCCTTCCTTCCTTGACATCAGCAGCACTAGCGCCACCAAAGGCTTTCTTCTTCTCGTGCTGTTTCTTGTCTATGCCCAGACCAAGCTTGTCCCTCTTCTCCTTGGGCACGAGCGGAAATAGCATGCCTTGCCCACTTGCACCAAGTCCGACTCGCGCGTCTACGTCGTAACCGTGTTTCGACATATATTTCAGACCCATCCTTGTTCTATCGATTGCGGAGGGTATGGGCGCTCGAGGCAATGCAGCTTGGTGTGCAGGACTGAGGTAGTGCATTCGCTGGTCCTGCTCCTTTACAGGCTCGCCACAGATGCCACACGCTGGATATGCTTCAGCTTTCGGTTGCGGTTCTCCGTTCGGGAACATGATGGCGAGATATCTTTCGGCCATTGTGCGGCCGTTGGTGGTAGGTGCGATTGGCTTCGGAGCATCTTGCGCGGCAGACACGAACTGTATAGGGTTCTTCCATAACCCACGACCATAAGCAGGCTGCTGGACAAATGGTGCAGTCGAGTGATCGGCGTCGTCGTAGCGTGGATCTTCTTCGTACTCTACCTCCTCCTTCCGGGGTTGTATGGTTAGTGCACTCATTTGCTAAGGACGATTGCCGCAGGATCAAGGTTGTGGGAGGGATGAGTGGCACAATGCTCCGCGACAGTATATTTGCGACGGCGAAATGAGCGGCACCATCGCAACTATGTGCGGTGAGATTGAGGTTTTTGAGGCAGTGAACGCAAGGCGACTGAAGGCAACGCGCAATCACAAGGCAATGACGCCACGTGCATAAATCCGATGCGCTTAGCGAGCCACCATCGTTCCGCATTGCTTAACCTTTTCCGTACCACCTCAGCCAACGATGCCCGTTAACATCCTCGCCCAGGCCTTCTCAGAGGGATTGGACACTATACCACTCGGCTGGACTGTAGTGAAGGTTGCCCCAATCTTTGCTCTGCTGTACCTGCTAAAATGGTTCTTCAATGGCGCGGTCAACCAGTCAGAGCGAAATATGCACTCGAAGGTAGTCATGGTTACTGTAAGAAGTCATATGCTACTAGCAGCCTGATACACATTGCTGACAGTTGAGTAGGGTGGAACATCAGGTATAGGAGCTGAAGTGGTCAGAGGCCTAGCTTCTCGTGGAGCACAAATCATTCTGCTCGTCCAGCAACCGCTCGTGGACCCGTTCCTCGTGGACTACATCGAAGACCTACGAACCGAAACAGGCAACGAGCTCATCACCGCCGAGAACGTCGATCTCACGTCTCTGCACAGCATACGACTCTTCGCCACGAAATGGGTCGACAACGCCCCCCCTCGCAGATTGGACATGATCATCCTCTGCGCAAATACAATGACACCTCCTGGAGGCAAGGCAACGATGACAGAAGACGGACTTGAGTCAACGTGGGGCCTCAATTATGTTGCCAACTTCCATCTGTTGAGCATCCTCAGCCCAGCACTCCGAGCACAACCACCAGACCGAGACGTCCGCATCATCTTCGGCACATGCAGTGCTTATATGGCTGGACAGCTGCCTGACTTCGATGCGAAACCAAGCACCACAAAAGAGAAGAAGGACGCGAATAGTGAACCTGGGCAGATTGACCTCACACCCAAGGCCGTGTACGCTACCTCGAAGCTGGCTCTCATGACCTTCGCCGTCGCCTTCCAAAAGCATCTTTCGTCCTACGCTCGTCCTGACAAGAAACCAATGAACGCGCGTGTCATCATGGTAGACCCTGGCTGGACTCGAACACCCGGCATGCGACGATTCCTGACCTTCGGTTCGCTCTGGGGACTCGCGGCATACCTCATCATGTGGCCAGTATGGTGGTTGGTGCTCAAAAGCGGAGATCAGGGCGCCCAGACGTTCTTGTATGCGGCTATGGAGGCACAGTGGGGCAGAGGTGAGGGCAACCACTTCCTGAAGGAGTGTAGAAAGGTCAACTGGACAAGGAAAGAGATCGATGACGAGGCGTTGCAGAAGAAGTTGTGGGAAAGCAGTTCGAAGACTGTCGAGGTATTGGAGAAGGAAAGTGCTAAGAGAAGGGCACTGGAGAAGAAGGACCAAGACAAATCCGAGGGCAAGAGCACTGCGAAGGAAGGTAATGGCCAAGCGAGGCAAAGGGGTTCAAAGTGACGTGTTGCGGCTCCGACAACTAAAACCCCGAGAGGTATTTCGTTAACAGCGTCAAGCATTTGCTGTAATATGACACTTTTGGACCTTTCACACCTCGCATCTCTCTTGCTCTCTATCCCACAGTTCTCCAATATCGCGCGCGTAATGTTGCTCCCATAGATGAGTGATGGCCATTCTTTGCTTACCCGAGCACAGCGCAGAAGGCTCGCGAATTCGATGTTCGGAGTCGATGCGATCATGAGAACGACCCCTGGTGGTAAGCGGGGCACAGCATCCGCCATGGCGCGCTCGTGCCGGTGGTCGCTGCAAAGGTTGTTTTTGAGATCGTGAGTTCTCGCCAAGGCGAGGTTGTGGTGTGGGAAGATGTCGACTTTTAGCATAAATGAGGATGGGATAACTTCATCGTGAGGAAGGAACGCTTGCGTAACGCTCGGACTCTAAGCTACTTTGGCTTGTGGGCATCACATGTGGATTTCTTGCAAGTGAAAGTTAAGGCGCGATGGATCCTCGTAACCATTCAGGCAAGTCAAAACCCGACTTTTCCAATGCCCGGGACGTGGACCCAACATGTTACGAATGCACGATAGTCAAGCATCACTCGAAATGAAAGGTGATTATAGACCAACAGGGATGGTAGGAAATATTAGAAGGCTAATGAGAAACATCCAGACCTTCCTGATGTCAAGCATGGCAAAGTTTCCGATCGGTGAAGAGACCTGAATAGAGGGACGAGCTTCGCAGAGCTCAAGCATCCAGGAGAGATCTAGACATGTTTTGAAATGATCGAGCCTCGAATCCGATCGTAAAACTGTAGAGCTGAATGTTGTTGACGGACATGAAGGCGAATGATGAGCATCAGGCATGGTGGGGCAGTCGTAGAGCCAAGACCCAGGCCTGTACATAGGAAAGCATAAAATCAAGACTACACCAAAGTCTTTGAAGCTTGAGGTCATTTTTGAGTAGAAAGTGTGGCATGCGCAGGCTTGAAAGTGGCGTGCGTTGTGGTGCTGGAAGAGCCGCATGTGGGTCAGCTGGGCCAGCGGGAAAGAGCGGGTCGTACCTGCGCAAGTGCGATGCAGGTACGAGGAACGCGTCATGCCCGTCTGCGCGCAATATCATGGACAGAGTATAAATTGACGACGGGCTTGCGCCCGATTGGCAGTAACCATGTTATCTTCAGGATCTTCACCATCGCTGTCGCCAGGATTTTCGCATCAACTGATCGATTATAGATTATTTACTCAGCTACCAGATCATCAACACTCCAAACATCGAGCTCCAATCCCTCAAACCATCGCATATCAATAGACATTACGTCAAATAATCACCTCCTCCCGTCCTCGAAAGTCACCAAGGTATAATGCAAATCCTCTTCCCCAAAGAATGTCAACGTCGCGTCGTGAAGAACGTTTCGAACCAGAAGCGCCGCCCGCTAAGAATGCTCGACCGCAAGGTATCGTATCCGTGTGAATGAAGTAATGTTTTGTGCGCATAGCGCGGCACCTACAAGGCAAGCATGCCCAAGAAACCCAGCGCGGCACCAACACCTGCTCCCAGAGCAGCGGTAGGATAGGGCGCGGCGTTAGTGGTAGCAACGGCAGCGGAGGATCGCGAGGCAGCGGAGGATCGCGAAGCAGTGGCCGAAAGGGTAGGCGTACGAACGCCCGTAAGGCTTGTAGAGTTAACACCAATGAAAATCGGAGTTGCGCTGATGCTGACGACTGACTTCGAAGAAGGAAGAGACGCAGATGGGGTTGGCGTCGGGGTTGTCGAAGCAGGGTACAGTGCAGGTAGGAGGCTCTTCACGTCTGACGGAAGGGCCTGGTACCACGCAGGTGGGTTTCCAGCAGCGAGCGACGATGCGACTTGC